GAACGATAAAAGTCAATATCGATCAAATGTCAAGGTTTTGCTCACTTTTTTCTTTGATTTTCGTCGCGTAGTATATCACTAGTTCTTACCACAAGGTCGTACGGTCAATAAAGAGTATCACCTTGAATTTATCCGCCTTTTGTGAGAAGTAATACAAAAAAAAACGTCCGTAATTGTGAGAAAACTATTTATAGATTTTTCATCACGACAATGCACCTGCTCACTCATCGTTGCTTATGTCGAACTTTTTGGCCAAAAACAAAACTACAATCGTACCTCAGGCATCATATTCACTGGATATGCCCCCCTGGGACTATTTCCTGTTCCCAAAACTCAAGAAACCCATAAAAGTATGGAGGTTTGGAACGATTGAGGAGATAAAGAAAAAATCGGTGGAAGAACTCAAGGCTATACTAGAAAGTGCTTATCAGAAGTGCTTCGAGGATTGGAAAAAACGTCGGCACAAATATATTATATCTGAGGGGGATTATTTGAAGGGGAAACATAAATATTGACGAATAAATGAATATTTTTTCATAAAAATAAAAATTCACCTTACTTTTTGAACACACCTCGTACCATGTACCGAATGAATTCGAAAAACAATTAAGTTAACTCATTTTACTCACTGTGTAAAATAGTTTCAATTACATTTAAAATCATAGTATTGGAATTGAGTAAAAATGATTTATTTGAAATTATTACTAGAATTTTTTGAAACAATGTCAATTGCAGTATTAAATGTTATTCAAATGATTTATTTAAGTTTCAATCAATCGAAAAATATTACTTTTTGTTACTTACAAGCTGCAATGTTGCGAATGCGATTAAAAATGGTTCAGCATATATTCTTAATAATATTAATATAATCTTATTCAGTATGTATACTGAATAGGATTGAAAATGATTTATACTGAAATTCATTAAAAAAACCCTTTTGATTGTAATGTATGCTATTGAATATTATTGATGTACTGTTCAAAAACTTCAATCATTTTTAATTGTGAATCTGAATCCCAATAAAAACTTTTAAAACTAATTAAATAATAACTGACAAAGGAATCAATGAAACTGCATTAAATATAATTCATTCAATGCCGATCTAATTTTAATTGAATCTAATCATAATGATTCCTATCGACTTTAATTGTTTTCAATTAATTATTAAAAGAGGAATCAATACAATTTTATTAAATATAATTCATTCAATGCTGATCATTCTTCTTGAAAGATATTACGAGGGTCGTTTGAAAAGTCCGTGCAAAGTCAGAGAGATGGCGCTACTAATGCGTATCAAGGTTATTTTCAATTAGTGGCATATCTTGGAAGAGCACACACCAAGTTTCAGCCAGATCGGCCAATTACTTTTCGTTTTACATTTGTTTCAATCAAAGAAATCGAGTGGTTGTAAAAAAATGGACGAAAAAGAATTTCGTGTATTGATTAAACATTACTTTTTCAAAGGTAAAACGCCTCAGGAAATTAAACAGAAGCTTGATAAACATTATGGTGATTGTACACCTTCGATTAGAATGGTTTATAAGTGGTTTCAAAATTTTCGGAGTGGCCATATGAGCACAAAAGACACTGAACGTTCTGCACGCCCTGTTGAGGTTACCACTTCAGAAATCATTGATAAAATCCATGATATGGTGATGGCTGACAGAAGAGTGAAATTGCTAGTATTGTAGGCATCTCGAGCGAACAGGTACATAATATTTTGCACCAACATTTGGACATGAAAAAGCTATCCGCTAGATGGGTGCCGCGATTGCTCACGATTGACCAAAAACGAGATCGCGTGAAGTGTTGCAAGAATGGTTTGAAGCTGTTCCAGCAAAATCCACAAGACTTTAAGCGTCGTTTCATCACTGTAGATGAAACATGGATACATCACTACACTCCTGAGACCAAAGAACAGTCTAAGCAATGGGTTACCAAGGGAGAATCTGCTCCGAAAAAGGCGAAGACAATTCCTTCGGCCGGGAAGGTTATGGCGACTGTCTTTTGGGATTCGCAAGGAATAATCTTCATCGACTATCTGGAAAAGGGTAGAACCATTACAGGCGAATATTATTCATCGTTATTGGATCGTTTAAAAACCGAGTTGCTAGAGAAACGTCCACGATTGGCCCACAAAAAAGTCCTCTTCCACCACGACGATGCGCTAGCTCACGCCTCAGCAGTTGTGGCCGCAAAACTGATGGAGATAGGGTTCCAACTCGTTTCACATCCCCCTATTCTCCAGACTTGGCTCCATCGGACTACTATTTGTTTTCTAATATGAAAAAATGGCTGGCGGGAAAAATATTTTATTCAAACGAGGAGGTGATTGCAGAAACGAATGCCTATTTTACAGACTTGGACAAATCCTATTATTTGGAAGGGATTAACAAACTAGAGCAGCGTTGGATGAAGTGTATAAGCCTAAAAGGAGACTATGTTGAAAAATAAAAAAGATTTATTAAAAGAAATCAAGCAGTTTTTATTTTTGTACGGACTTTTCAAATATTTTATGAAATATTTAAAAACGGTTCTTGTTCCGAACATATCCATATTTCAGAAACATTTCATGAATTATTTCAGAAATATTTCAGAAATATTTAATGCAATGTGGGAACAAAGGGCGCACCAAAAGGGTACCTGACCTGAAGGAAGAGCGTTACTGAAGACCTGGCGAGCTCCTGTTGGTACCCTACCGCTCATTGACGCCTTAGTAGGTGTCGTTGCCTGCTTTGTCGATCGCTGTCCGGTAGTGGAGGGGCCATTGTTCGTAGTAGTCTTCCTCAACGCTTCTACGTTTTCCAGCAGGAGAAAGCATATGTCCACCAACGTTCCTTTTCGGTTGTCTTGACGCTTTACTTGTAATTATATTTTCTAGATTACTTGTAAATTGTGTCGCAACGTTGATAAGACCAGTACTGCTCGCGTCCTGTCGCTATTCGCGACATATCTCTCGCCTCTCTCTCTCTACAATCCTCAAAAGCAACCAAGCGCCGCCGGCAACGTACACATGTGCGGATTACGCCAGGCGACACTACTCATTTCTCTCTCTCCTTTTCTCACCTATAACTTTCTTTTCGCTCGAGTCGCTCTAACCATCGACACCGATCAGGAATCATAGCCTCATCGAGCTTCGATACTCGGTTCGAACGACCAAGATAACAGTGTGGCAGCGGCGAAGGGGAAGGCACACAGAAGAGAGGAACGAACAAGGCAAGCGATCTCAACAATCGCTCCACCCGTCACAAGTACGAATCGGTAATTTGTTTACATCCATCTGTGAAATTAATGGTTACGCCTTAATAATATGATTGAAAGAAAGAAAATATGAATTTACTATAGCTACATGCTAGCTCTAGAGTATACCCTTTACGAAAGAGAGAGCAGTCCAAAACCATGCTAAGCCAAAATTTTAGAGAGAGAGAGAGAGAGAGAGCACACGATCGTGTCATATGCCAAATGTATAACTGGTAGACACACTGAGAATGTTGTAAAACATGAGTGGCATTAGCTCTAACGATAGAGTTCTCGTCTGCGAAACAAGAGAACGCGGGTTCGATTCCCCAACGAGTCGTTTATTTTTTGTAAATTAGTTTCTCAGCTAAACACATAACAAAATTTTTTTTCTTATATTGAACGAATAATTTGTTTAATTCGATAATAAAAAGTAATAATTAAAATAAAATTAATCTCTCAATCAATTAATTCAATATATCAAAAACACTTGTATCATAGTTGGTAGGGAATAATCTGTCCTGAAATATAAATGAGAACGTAAGTCAAAATATACCTTCCTTCTACTCATTTGAGTCCGCTTGACCTCGTGCGCGCCTGTTTCCACGTGGCCTCGTACGGCCACTATTTACTTACTCGAATCTATTAAGAAATCTAACTATGAACGGCAACTATCAAAAAATTAATTTATTAAGAAATCTCAAAACTCGCTGAAATGACTCGGAAATGTTTATGTGACTGTATTAAAATTGAAATTAGAAAAACAACCATTTCAAATTATTAAAAATTAAAAATCATTCGTACTTTTGGAAAAACAAATATTTCTATTCAGATTATGTTCACGACTTTTATATAAAATCAATGGATATCCCTATACAATGATATATCTCTGTACAAATAGACTACAATATATTTTGAATATTTTTATTAATTTTTTTGAATAGTGGACGAAAATTTAAGTTGAAAAATGGCTTTAATATGAAAAAAAACTCATTCTCATTAATATAAAAAAAAGATATAAGATAAGATTCCGCAAATCATTTACAACTAAGTCAGTTTCGCAAAACTTCGGCAAATTTATAGATCTATCATTTTTCGTTAAGTCTTCAATCGTTACAGTATAGTTATTATCAAGGCAGTGAGCTTACAGCTTAGAGATATTATTTGCGGCTGCTTTTATCTCAGAACCCTGGCATATTGTCATATATCTTCGATAAGACCTAATAGGGAATCCGAAGCTGTCTTGGCAACCGACAAGAAAAGCCAGAAGAGACACATAGAGTGCGAACGTGTGTGATTTAATTTTTTAGTCATAAGGCCATACCTACAACTATGAAATTATGGAAGAAAAGCGGAAAAGTGAAATAGTGTTAAACTAATGGAAAAGCTAAGAATTCAGTAGTACATAACTCAATTGCTTAGCGTCAAAGACTTAATTCAAAAATTAGATATTTCTGCTCATCCACTCTCCATACATTGAGTTTGTCTTAATATAGAGAGGACCGAAAAATAATTTTTGGTTTAGTGACCTCAACTACATAAATACGTATTAGTCTTTTTTTTATGCATTATTTTACCTTTTCACATTGTTCCAACATATCACTATTAGATCCTTAGAACAACTGTTCTAAGTATTCTGATTATTTATCTTATTGGTTAATATTATAAAATAATAGAATCATATAAGGTATTAAAAAAACTGATTATGAGCTATTAATCATTAAATTCATCTTTCTTTTAGAGTATATGTGCTATTAACTTACATCTATTGTTTCATTGAAGTAGGCTTCACTTTTATCATTAGAAAGCATTCCTCCAATATTAAAGTAAGCAGGATTATTCATTGTTTGTACATTTTTTCCGAAGACTGAATAAGATGATATACAATAATAGATGAAAAAAACTATCTTCTGTATGATATACTTAGTCATCTGTAAAATTTAAATTTGGTAAATTATCTTGTAGTATAATAAACAAGTACTTTTTTTCACGATTATATCTATTAAATAATTGTTTTTATGACTTCACAATATATTCTATCAAAATATGATATATTTCAGACTACAACGTTGCACAATATATATTTCTTAACAAATGTCAATATTTTCATATTAGCAATGAGTAAGAAGGAAATCTCTTAATGCGATAAGGACTAAATGGGCATATTTTCACCAGGTTTTTCGTTCGATATTTGCATAAAGAAATTGAATTGAATAAAATTCCAAATTTATCTATTCTGACGTAAAATTTCATGATCTTTACAAATCTAATTTTAGTTATTGTCAAAAATATCATTTTTATAGATTATATTTGCTTTTTTAGTTAAAATTTACGATTTTTGAACAACTATTTTATAATGAATCAAGTATTTTGAATAGAAATTGATTTTAGACATAGTGCAAAGATGGATTTTTTGCGTACATGGATCATAAACTTTAAACTTGCTATATTTTCAAGTTAAATTCAAGATGATGATTTTACAAATTGCGTCTATAATGCTAAATTTTCAACCGAAATATTGAAATTATCATATGAAAGTCTATTCACCATGAATGTGTGTGAAAATGTACTTCTAACTTTCTTAGGCTTGCTGAGAATGAACATACGACTAGATTTGAAAAATCCAATTTGACGAATCTAAGATGTCGGACGGAATTTTCGGAAATCAACCGATTTCGATCATATTTAGTATAGAAGAGTTTTCAGAGTCGCTGATAATGAATCTGAAATCAGATTTTCAAAATGTTCAAATTCTAGATTACTATTAAAAATTGAAATCACAATGATTCCTATGAACACATTCAAATCAGCAAGAGTAATTTTGTAACCTCTATATTTGTACTTTCGATTCTTGAGTGATTCGGATAGTAAAGATAGTAAAGATTCATTTATTACTTCCGCATCATTTTTTTTAACCATCCATCCATTCATAAATATGATTTGGTTCAAGTAATTTTTGATCATCTGTGTAGTTTTCAAAAACTTTTTCGTACGATGCTGTAAGTACAATTAAATCACTATTTTTCTCCTCGTCAAAATCTTCTGAACCACATTCAGATTCATTATCAGAGATATTGATGCCATTACCATTTTCTGTTACCGATTTCTCTTCTCTCTAATTTCCAAAAATTTCGTCCGTCATCTGTAAGGGAGAATATGCGATCGTTCCCGTCTGGGTAACTCGCGGCCGTCCACACAAATTATTTATTTCGGGATTCAAGAAATAAAAGACGTACTCGCGACTGAATAACGCGTCGAGCACAATCACGTTAAATGCACAGATTCGAAGTCGGGATGAGGAACGATACAGCGGCGAATAAACGCAACACCAAATTAACACACTAATCCTTTAATCGTCAACAATCGACTACAAGACGGCGATCTCACGCCTATATACTACGAGCGGCACAATAATAAACGCGAACGCGAAAGTGAATCGGTGGCTGGTCAGCCTGCCGATTCCCTGTTTAAAACTAGTTATTACAATAAATGCCCGATAAACACTTTCCACCGTTATTTCATCAATGGAGTAGCCAGCAGATTTGCCGCGCTACCACCCATGAGTTGGCGCCCAAACATGCAAGAGAGAGAAACAAGAGAATACACGGCACCAACCTCGACATGCAGCCTCTCTGACGGCTAGAACGTTTTGTAGTGTGACGTCACTGTTGCGCTCCCTCTCGCTGACCGTCTCGCTGGTGTTATTGTCGTCGCTACTTATTCTCTCGCTCGTTCTCTCATTCGCTCTTCCAATGTTACTGCCTCAATCCGTTGTTCCGCTCGTTGCTGTTGTCGTTGTTACTTTGCTGCCCTTCAATTGCTCGGTACTGCAGCAGCGTCGAAGCCCGCTCACGCGCGCACCCGCGAACCTCGCCGGTTACCCACACGCACCGATGTATCCTTCGGGACACGGCTGGGTGCGACCCAGCCAAACCCTCTAATTCTCGTTCGCGCACCGGGCGTGTCTCCGAAAAACGAAAAACGTTGACGAGGTCCAGGGCCAACTTCGGAAAACCGTTAACTTCGGTTTAATCCGCGGGCTCAACTTTCTCTGCCCAAAACCTGGCAGATATTCTCTTCTTAAATTTTCCGCGATGATCCGCAACTAGAGTGCTCTCTCTCTCTCTTCTTCTTCTTCCGCGCCATCTCGATCGTCCCAGCCGTCAGCTCAGCCCGTATACAGAACCCCGAAAACAAAAATCCAAGCATGAGTGTGCGGACTACTCGCACACACTCTCAGCTTGGCGCGGCGTGCGGACATTTGCGAGAGCCAAACGGACGAAATCGGCCTAGCCGAGATTCTCCGTTACACATGTTTGATCCATCATGTTGGATTTTTCAAATCTAGCCATATTTTTATTCTCTACAAGCCCAAGAAATTTTAGAAATTCATTTTCTTTAGAACTGTAGAAACACATCCATGGTGAATAGACTTTCATATGGTAATTTCAATATTTCGGTTCAACAAATTTAAAGTTTAGGATCCATGGAAACAAAAAATCCATGGTTGCACTATGTCCGAAACCGATTTCAATTCAAAAATTTTCATTCATTATAAAATAGTTGTTCAAAAATCGTAAAGGGTCTAGCCGGTTAAGAAGATGAAAAATGCCCACGGCTCGTTTGAAATACTGAAGATACCTTCTAATAATACATAAAAAAATATAACTTTTCTGAAATTTTCATACCCCTAGACACATCCATTCTCTACATATGTATGAAAATATAATTTTTAGTTTTTTGCCGATATCTCAAACTCCAGAGGTCCCATAGACGTCTATTTTTCTTTATTTTAAGGTTTTTCTATCACTGACAAGATGATTTTTTTTTAATTTTTTGACTAGAAATCCAAATTAAAAAGCGCGTTTTAAATTTTCTAAATTGAATTAAAAAAAACTATACTAGACTATATTTCGAAAAAAAATGTATTCTTCAGATATCAAATTATATTTATAAATTCCTTCAGATATTAAAAGTGGTGTATCACGTTCAATATCACGAAAAACCGCAATTTTTCGTATTTTACAGTGTTTTCACTAACTTTTTAGGCCTAGACCTTCTTTTAAAATCATTTCTTGCCTTGAATTTATCATATATATACTAATATATATATATATATATTGTAACGGGGGGGATAAATCTGCAAAATGAGAAATTTATTTAAGAACAAACTCCCACGATGCAGAGCAAACCGCCGCTCCGTTAACACGTATGTTAATACGTGTATTCGCCTTAACGTAAGCTGACTTAACTTAGTTGTCTTCGATCAAGCAGAGTTGAACTCACCTTAAGTCACGTGCCTTGTGATACTCGATGAGTTTTAAGTGTAATCGACTTTGCTCCTAATCCACTTAATCCCCTAGCTATAATCGGATTAAAACCTAAGCCTTTTTCAATTGTTTAAACTATTAGGAAAAATTATATGACGAAATCGGCGAATAAGTTTAATAGATTTTATTAATAAAATCTCTACAGTCTTTGTTGGGCCGAAAGACTGACGCATGCGAATAGGATTTACAATTAAATAACTTTCGGTGAGAAAGAGAGAGAGAGAGAGAAGATACGAATATTGGCGCGATCTAACGCTCGACGCGAATACAAAAAATTAACGCCAACACGGTTGGACAAAATACCAAATGTATTTTGTCACGCGATAATTAAGGAGGCTCCAGCGACTACCGCCGGGATCAAAAACACAACAAAAAATAAACTTTCAAGCTAACGGCTAAAAAATCTTATAAGCAGTTTCTAAAGCAATATTATTACAAAATAGTACGATTTTCAACTACAGTTGGTAACTTTTTACAACAGAAGTTCCAGAACTTGAGTTTGGTACGACGCACAGAACCTATAAAGTAGACAATTTCAGACTTTTTTGGAGAATATCTCAAAATTTTCCACGACTATCCATATTTTGCAGTACATCATTCGAAAGACCAAGTTTTTATCTATAAGAAGATCAGTTTTTCATTACGTAACTACACCATTACTTTTAGTTATTGATGAATTTCTAACATTTTTTCACCTTGTTCCATAAGATACTATACAAAAAGCGCAAACTTTGAGATGAAATATCTCGAAATTTTCCACGGCTTGAGGGGTAAAGAAGGATACCGTTGGATTCAGTGCATTTTCACTTATCGAAATCACTATAACTAACATCGAAACTTTTCAATACCCCTCCTCGCTGGAGCCTCCTTAAGGGAGGTGCACCTACCCTGCGGTGCAATTACGGTGATCAGCCGTAATTGTTGAAGCAAATTAAAGGTGCTCCTCAGATCCGAATCAGCTGTGCTGCCTCGATTGCAAATCTGCTGTATAATAGCTGTTGCTTTTGCTGCTGCTTCCGTGATTCTGCTACTGTTGCTGCTTCCTCGCTCACCCTTGTACACGTATCCAAAATCCAAGTAAACTATTTATTGGCAAATCGGTGAAACACTGTGCTAAACTATTTTGGCGGTACTACACAAGTAACAGCTGAGACGTAACTGCTAATTCAAAAGATCACGCGCCCCCTCTCTCTCTCTCAATACTTAGAACTAACGCGCGAAAATCAGAATCGCGAACGGTTCGATTAATTGAATCGACTACCGTTGCAATATATACACTGCCCGTCAATCACTTTTGCCATGCTTACCTCAAAATTAGGCAAACTTGAAAGTTTTGTATCTCGGTCGGAAAACATCGTATCACAAAAAACAGCAGGGCATTTTAAAGGTAATTGCAAAAGCTTCCATTTAAGACGTGCAGAGACTTAAAAATGAAAATATGTGTTTTTTACAGTAAAAAAACTGATTAAAAAAATTTCAATTTTTTTAACCTCGACTTAAATCAATGCCAATTTAGAACCAGGCGGTGGAGGGCAAATCGACCTGAGGGGTTCGGAGAGTAATGTCTTTCTCTTTAAAATTAGCCCCCGTGGGGTTCTATC